CGAAGATATCTGAGAAGAAGCTTTTCTTCATTGAGAAATGTCTTTTCAAATAAGGTGAATAGATACCGACTCGTACATCAAGAATATCTCGGAAACGGCAGTTAGATTGCTGAATTCGCATGTAGTCTAAGTGTCACATAGACCAACGAAATCGTTACAATATAACCTATGTAAGTCTAAAGACTCAGTTAAAAGATAAGAAATGATCAATGTAATTTGCGAAGTTAATTACAACAATTCTGAACACCATCAGCTGGACCTTTCGGGTGGACCATAGTTACAAGTTGTTCACTTTCGTCAGTTAGAGAAATCTGCGAAGGGGAATATAATTAGGTTTCCTCATAGTTTCAACCTGCATTTTCCACTGGTTTAGTGAAATATGTGACTGTCAATAACCTCTGAATCTAGGCCCAGAACCTACTTCCCGAAATGACATAAGAGGGTAACAGGTAGGGCCCAAAAATATGTGAATACTTTCTGGTAGTTTTATCACTTTCTTTTTGGTTTTAATAAAAAATCACATTAAATGCCACAAGGAGGATGATGTTGACAGCTCCTCTCATGCAAATGATAAAGCTACAAATAAACCCTATGTCAAAACTGCAAATAAGTTCTATTATACTGTTACCAAGAGTATAATAAAGCATGAAATGTGCAGAATAATTCTTCTTATCCCCAGATTTTGTATGTGTGCACTGAGTGAAAAAAATAATATGCTGAATTGTATTCAACCGAAAGATGTTTAACGAAGGTGTTCATATCATGTTGAAACGAATTGAACAATTCTTATTGGAAACATTTTCAGTTTAAAAATGTACTTCTACCAATGGAGAAGTAATCAAAAGGCATAAAATATGATCAGATTTATGCCACTACTCTTATGTCCCATAAGATATTTTTCTCTATCTCACGAACATTGAAAAAAGCTTCAGTATTGGAAAAAAATTAGTGAGTATATTATACTGACCATGAGGCTGCACAGTTTTAAAACTAGTATTTATTTAAACTGATTGACGAATGGAAATCTGGACCGCGGCAGGACATAAAACCAACGACCTCCAGGTTACTGGCACAGTGATTTACCAACTCAGCCACGGCATCTGGCTGCTGAATAGATCTTCATTTCATCTTCAATCAACACGCAGTATCAATACAAGCCTGTAAAACTGTCACTGTCCGTCAAAATGATAGTATTTATTTCCTAATGTTAAAATTGGAAAACACTACATTATATGAGTCTCAGATTTTTGAAATTGTATCAAAGTGCAAAAATACTGTCAAGTTCCATTAGTTAAGTCGGCTGAATATCCTACTGCATCACAAGTGATGCTGATTAACATAATAAAGTGAAGACTGGGATGGCAGAACAACAAAAATTGCGTCCCAGATATAATACTACTTTTTTCTACTACATTTTCTGTTGATGATTTAAACATTCTCATCTGTAAATTATTGTAAGCGATAGTTAGCTTATTTGTGTGGTTATTAACCAAATGACAAATGATGACTTTTAAGAAAATGTTGAGGTAAGTTTCTATTCCTTCAAAAAGTTAACGGTTCAATTGTTTAGATCATACAGATATTTTTCTTATGATAATCAACAACAGGTGATTTATTATAACCAGAATCATCTTACATTTATGTGCACCACTTTACATGATCGATCAAGGTTGTCTGGTGGTTATTTTTAGGTTCAGCTGTTCTTAGGATATTCTAAAAGATACTTTCAAACAGCCATATTGCTCTTTTTACAGGTTGAACTTTAGAAAAGAATCACTACAAGTATAGTGGACAGTATTTATTGACTGGCTGGCTTTAGTAGTGATCAATTTTTGTCTTCAGGGCTGTCCGAGTTCCTCTTATTACTGTATTTATCGGTGGATGGTTGAAGGTAGTCAATACGAAGACTTTTTATAGATAACTATGGTTAACACCAAAGGATAACTTGTATTATAACTAGACTGATGTATCGTCAGTCATAAGAAAATGCGAATATCAGTAGCCAAACCATAAATGTTGTCTCAAGGTTATTGGAAGTGAAACTGGATTGAGAAAGCTAGTTGGTCACTTCAGAGTTACATTTGTTCTTTCTCTTCTACATTAGGCAAGAGTGGAAAGTATAATCGATGTTTTTGTTTTACCATCCAAAAGATGTGATAAATGTAGATCAATCAGAAAAAGGAATCGAGGGTGTTAGCTCTGTGACAAACAGATTCTCTTTAACAACGTTAAGAGAACTTATTGTTATTAGGTTCGTTTGATGCCTTCTAGTTGAAAACACTTTATTGGCAGCAATAAAAATGTACTGGTGATCACTTTCTCCGTCTTTTTCTCTCTAGTGATTGATTTATCAGTTCACTTCCAGACACTTGATTTCACAATAATATGCATATGTACATCGAAGTATGTACTTTAAACAGCTTCAGTAATGAAATGTTTGCCATAAACTTGGTTTGATTGTTTTTGTGACAGCAATGATAATAATAATATATATATATATATATATTTCTGTTTTCTCGAAGTATTTAAAATAATTCAGTAAATTTCTCTGGGAATCATTTGTTTCAAAGATTGTTTTGTTAGAAAATGATATTTGGTGAGTTAATACTCTTAGAATCGAGTGGAAACTAATGAATATTGGCACATTATTAAAGACTCTTCACTAATGATTATTGTTATTACTGTTGACCAAGGAGCTCCAAGATATTTTCCTGGATAATATCTTTCAGCTATTAGATTTAAGATTAGTAGATGATATCTGAAGGTTTTCCGAACGCATTTAGCGCATGGAATATGTTGTTGCGAAAGGTGTCAACGTGTCAGTTAGAAACTACTGAATGCGCAGCCTAATCCAGCGTCTACTTTTAGAACTACTATTTTTTATCAAACCTATAGTTCTGTGACAGTGTTCGCAGATATACTGTTGTGTAAACTCATGTTCCACAGATGCATTACTTCAGTGTTTTGTTGTTTTTCAGCTTGCATTACTTTGAAATGAGAAGAATTGAAGTGGACTGAACTCATTTACTTATGTTAAAAACTGAAGTCAGAATTAAAGCGTCCATTCTAGATAATTGAACTTTCAAAAACTTCTCATTCAGTTTATCAGATCTGATAATGAACAATCAAGAATTATCAGGACGACTGTGAACGTTTAGTGCTTATTAGTGTATGTCATTTTTCAATATTTACAGATTTACGTTCCATTATTTAAAACCATCTGAACAAATAATATTCGTTTCATTAAATTCTCATCAGGTTCTACAGTTATAAAATGGTATTGTATTGTATAGCGTAAAAACAAAGAATTTATTTTTAAAATGGTATAAGGCTTTTGACTGTTAGGAAATCGACATCCGTTTTATAAATCTTTCTACATTAGGATGATTTATATACAGATGAAGAATATGTTTATGAAAGAAAAGACAACAAATAAGGAGGACGGGAGTAGTTCTGAGCTTTTTGAAAACTAAAGGAGGAATAACTCCAATATTCTTTTTGATGTTCTTACTAGGTAGTAGTAATATCCATTGTATTAAATATTCCGTGTGGACTTGTTTGAAGTAAAGCTGACTAAAATTCAGCGATGTACATTTTAACCTAGTTAACCTTTTCCAAACTATCTACTCGATGAATCAAGATGAATAAAGTGTGTCTACATATAGCCTTTTGGAGTTAGAAGTTGGGAGTCAGCTGATGGTAAAACCATAGACCTAGGTTTTCTTCTTTGGGCAATCATTATCAAAGTGTATCCACAAACATGAAAAAACTGGTATTCCGTACATGATTCAAACCAGTGTTACTCACTTCTGAAGTTGGAGACTTGAGTACTAAGCTATTCAGGGCATGTCTGACCTCTTGTAGGACTCTGTTATGTACACGAGTTGTTCACTGGTAAGAAACTGATATAGCTGCGTTACCATCAGTGCTTAAAACCATTCGAAGTTTGTCGATCAACTTTTGCGACGTCATGTAGATTTGAATCACCAAGAGAACACGAGTTTCCTCATGGTTGCAGATAACCATTACTGATCATTGCCAAAAAGCACATGATCTAGTCTCAGAGCTTTTTCATCATAAACTGCCAAACTGCAATGCCCTACAGTGTTGCATCACTTCGCTTAGTAGTCATATTGGAAAAATCGATCGGTAAGGTTCAATCAGTTCATACATGGGTTAACGGCTGGTGAACTTGTGTGCACATAATACTATGGTGAATGGTGTGCAGTGAGACCGAAGTAAACTACGTGAAATCCTCAGTTGCTCCGAATAATTGAGACATGTGACATGCTTCATGATTCTGTATGTCATCTTTGTGCAGACGCTATGCTGGTTTTCTCTGCACTGTTTTAATTTTAGTACATGCATCTCAGAAGCCAGTTTTTCATGCAGTATGTTATACAGTGGTTATCGACAAAGCGCGATCTCCAAAAATATCTCATAAAATTATCATAGTAAAACTCTAGAAAATTTTAGAATCAAGATAAAATGAATTACTACTGAGTGGCAGATGTTCATGGTAAAACCTGGGCACAACCTCTTGGAATATATACATTTTCAAGTCTTTTTAAACCTCGTACTTAGATACCCCTTGATTTTTCGATCAGCTTCACAGGATATTATTAATTTCTTTCATTTATTGTCTATGGAATTTAGCAAAGACCAAAGTGCTGGTGCGATCAAAAATTCAGACATCCTTTCACCTCAGGTATATAGGATGGCAAGCGCAAAACATAATGTATCATTATCAAGACCAGATTGTGTTTATCTTTGGTCATCAAAAATAATGATATGCAAACAAATAGACGTCAGAGGTTTAACAGAAGTTCAAAACTGAACCTAAAAAAGATCCATCACCAAATAAGAAGTAACACTAAATTTTACTCCAAGGAAATAAAACTGACTTTTACCAGCTCTTATCAATAAATTATACAAACAACCAGAAAGAAAGACGATTTCTCACAATGCAACATAAATAGTAGAAGAAATTTAAGACTTACCTTGCTTTTTTCTAGTTCACATAGTCGGTGGTTTGCGATATCTACTGCTTCACGATATGCATACATTAGTTCAATTTCCTGAAGGCAAATTGGAAAGTGATTTTTAAAGAGTATTTTCAATTAAAAAAAAAGAGATTGTGATTTCTGTAAAATTTAGGACATTAGCTTAAGTTCTGTGTGACTAAATGTATGGAGATTTATTGCGGTAGTACAAGTTACAACCAAAAGATGTTGTTTCAGTTCATCTGTACCCTGAATAGTAAGTGGTTATGAGATAGGTTGTTAAATTAAGTGGTTGGATATTAGATTGATCAGACGTAAACGGATTGCGGTTATTAGTGTTACCTGACTTATAATGATTTATTTTCACTTCAGCTAGTTATATATGTTTTGGTTAATAGGCTATTTTTCTCAATTCTTTCATTAATTATGTCTTTCTGCTTTTATTGCATGCAAATCACGCTTATAGCAGTATAAACTTATAAAATATGCCTCTTACCTTCTTATCATTATCGCTCAGTTGCTTTTCCAATCGTTCAACTTTTACTCTTTGTTTAGCAACTTGATTCGAAGTTGAAGACGAAGAAGACGAAGCGGCAGTGGATGAATTCATGTCTGCGCAAGTAGTATCGTTCGGATCTGTGCAAGATTTGCATTACTTCCGGCTGCTAAATTTGAGTTTGATGAATATGCATTTCCTCCGGAGTTCATTGCTATACCTATTATGGAATTTGTGTTATTCAATAAGGAATTAGAATTCACTGCACCTGATACACTTGTAAGCATAGATGTTGATGTCGCTGTCAGTGTTGATGAGGATAATGGAGTTGAAGAGAAAGAGTTTGATGGGGTTTGAGTGAGTGATGCAGATAATTCGTTAAGAAAGTTTTGTGCTGATGCCAACTCCTCACGCAGCTTTACCCCAGCTTGACAACGTTGATAATAAGCTGATTTTGTCTTAAATAAACTGTTCTCCGCATCAAGCATACGTTTAACATCAGTTTTCCATTTATCTTTAAGAAATTTTCTCGTTTTATCAAACAGTGTGCGTTGGCGAGTGAGTACCTGAACACAATAATAATGTATGAACATCAAGAAAAGCAAATATTTTGTTGGTAACAGAAATGTGGTATTGCTTGTTTAAAGTGACTGACTAGATATACCAATGATAACTATAAATGGAAAAGGTATTGTGTTAGGGAGATTTTATACAATTCAGGAAGTAATATAACTTTCGTTTTACTCTATTTTTTTATTTATTTCCTGTCATTGTCTGAATCTACTCATTCAATTATCCATAAAACACCTTATACAACAAAACTTATCACACACAAAAAAAGAAAACGTTAGGCAAAATAGCACTACACGATATTTTGTGCTTCACTGTTTCATTAACACGGTAGGAATATGACTTGATGATGTCTACTATCGACATCGTGCCTGAGTAGTTTACTGGGTGTTAACAGATTCAATTTACTTAGCTTTACAGATTGAACACTTACTCAGTCACATCGCAGTTGAGTTTAAAGTCAACTCGCTTACATATCAATCGGATAAGATGAGACTACTGGGGATTTTCGTAACCTTGTTAAAAATTCAACTAAACAATATGATTAGTTAGACATCATTCGTCAGGTGTCAATAAGTCATCAAGTGAATCAAAAAGCGAGTCACACTAGTCGTTTGAAAAACCTACTGGGCTGAGAAGAATACTGCATAGTAATGTAGCAATATAACGAGAAGTTGTAGGCTGACTGAGTCGAAAATACTGTTTAAGCTTGTCAACCACACAACAGCATTTCTAGCCAATGCGACTGATATGACCAGAAAAATGCAACTCTCTGACCCATACATGCATATCATGGTGAATATTTGTACTTCAGGATCTGGATGATCATAGTGAGTTGCAATCTGAGCCAGAGTATGCAGTCGAAGGAGATACATGGATATCTATAACATATTAGTTTGATACAGTGTAATCTAACTGACCACCTGATGAGTCCGTGAGGGTATGCAGAACTTAACTCATCTACCTCCTCCCTCCAGTTTTATCACAACCCACACAGCTACGTGATAGCTCAATTTCTTTCCATTGCTTACAGTATCCTGATTCGATCACCAATCACAGTGATCATTACGGAAACACTCACACAACGGTTGCACTAAATAATCTCACCAATCATCAAACCGAAAGTATGCATGACACATGTCGACGACACATTCGTCATCCTTGATAGGAATTCTACTGAATACACTCAAAGCTAATCAACAATGTTTTCACAGAAGTGGAAAATGACAACAAAGGTGATGATGGACACCTCAAAACTGAAACGTATAGGAAGACACCTTATACAAACCACATCCTAAGTCACATTAACAACAATCCGATTTCACACATGGAGAGCTGTGTAACAAGCCCATCTGGCTGGATGAGTAGACACACACACACACACATTGTAGTACAGCAGAATCGAAGATATCTGAGAAGAAGCTTTTCTTCATTGAGAAATGTCTTTTCAAATAAGGTGAATAGATACCGACTCGTACATCAAGAATATCTCGGAAACGGCAGTTAGATTGCTGAATTCGCATGTAGTCTAAGTGTCACATAGACCAACGAAATCGTTACAATATAACATATGTAAGTCTAAAGACTCAGTTAAAAGATAAGAAATGATCAATGTAATTTGCGAAGTTAATTACAACAATTCTGAACGCTATTATTTGGAAATTTCGGTTAGGCCAGTATTGCGACTTCTGCTGGATCACAAATTGGCTGTCAAAATTCATGATATGTAGTTTCTTATCCGAATATGCTAGAACAACAGCAATCGGATATTTGACTGGAACAAATCCAAAATACTCGAACATGCAAACTCGAAAGCGCATTGGACCCAAGCAAATTTCCATTAAGTCATCACACTAACCTGTACATAGTATATAAGCTTATTGGAAACGAAACAGTAATCAATCGATCCAATTGCAAAAAACCCATGAAGCCAACAAAAAGTGGATTCATCAATCATTAAATCAAGATAACTTACAACTAACCAAAATTGTTATGAATTAAATGTTGAAGAAAATTTCTAGCCCTATAGTGAAGCGTTCAAGAATAAACCTCAAAGCTCGGATGATAACATTCATTTATCGAACTCCAGGACCTACGCAGTCAGTAGAAAAAGAATCCCCTTCCTTACTAAAATATAACCAGCTAGCATTGGAAAAGAACGCCGTTTCAGTTGAAGTATATTAATCAGACATTGTAAGGCATCCTTCCTACAACATACATGAGTCAACCAATCAGATTAACACATCTTCCTTCACCTCATCCAAACAAGTGTATTAATGGACCATAACAAACCCACTATCATCAAGTGATTCAAAAAAGTGTCAACCAATCACGTACATCAGCGTAATGCAAGCAAGCCGGAGAAATCAACTAATCACATGGTTTCGGACTCTCTGGAAAGAATGGAGGCAGGAAGCCAGCCAGTCACGTACAACATATGCCCATACAACCGTTAAGTGACCAATTCAATTACACCTAGTCAAAGTAGCTCATGATACATATAGATGAACAACCATTGCCTTCACTTTCTGTGAAGCTTTTATGCACTGATGACTACGTTGAAGAGTTTGCCAAAGATCTCAGAGGACGACTCATTCTGAACAATGAACCACTTGTCTCTGACGAACAGACGATACCACCAACACCAGTTTGTCATTCATTCTGATCCTAGTAACTAAAATAAAGCACTTAATAAGCATCAATAACTGTATAGTTCAGAAGCATATTCCATAAACAGCATTTGCAAGTAAATCGAATTCTTACTTATAAAACAATACAGATGTCTAAGACACAGTTATTTCTAATAATGTGTTATGAAAACAACACAGTTGATACAACAAAAAAATAAGACATTCTGTGGTTGAAAACTGCACACATACATATCCATACACAGAATAGTTCTCACTTACACCAATTACTTAACACAAAACGACAGAATGAGTAGTAGGATATCTTCGCGCCTCCTTATTATTATTATTGGAATCTAAAGATTGGGTTAGCAGCGCAACAAAGGGATTAAGTAGCACATCTCCAGTGCACTCTCTTCTCTGCAGTCTTTTCAACCTCGCTCCACAACTACCCACAACCTTTCATTTCTTTCTCACATGATCTCACCCATGTCACCCTCAGCTGGGACGACCAACTCGTCGCTTCCCCTTTGGATTCCACTCGACGGCCTGGCCTAGCGCGTGATGTCCCCAATCGGCCTCCTCAGTGTATGCCCAATCCATCTCCACTTCCTTCTTCATATTTGTTGGGTGATAGGTTCTTGGTTGGTTCGTTGCCAGAATTCCTTGTTGCTTATTCTTATATTATTCTGGCCATCCGATCTTCAGTATCGGGTGCGCGTAGGTGGCGGCTGTTGATGAACGTCTGTAGTTTGTTGGAAATGCTTTTCGTGACGCGCCAAGTTTCTGAACCGTATAGCAGCACTGACTTGACTGGATTGGTGTTGAAAATCCGGATCTTGTCCACGCTTTATGCTGATTGCAGATCTTCACACTGGTTTCAGGTTATTGAAAGCCTGTCTTGCTTTTCCGATCCTGGTTGTGACATCGTTGTCTGTGCCAGCTGTAGTTGAAACGATGCTGCCTAGGTAGGTAGGTAGGTAGGTAGGTAGGTAGGTAGGTAGGTAGGTAGGTAGGTAGGTAGGTAGGTAGGTAGGTAGGTAGGTAGGTAGGTAGGTAGGTAGGTAGGTAGGTAGGTAGGTAGGTAGGTAGGTAGGTAGGTAGGTAGGTAGGTAGGTAGGTAGGTAGGTAGGTAGGTAGGTAGGTAGGTAGGTAGGTAGGTAGGTAGGTAGGTAGGTAGGTAGGTAGGTAGGTAGGTAGGTAGGTAGGTAGGTAGGTAGGTAGGTAGGTAGGTAGGTAGGTAGGTAGGTAGGTAGGTAGGTAGGTAGGTAGGTAGGTAGGTAGGTAGGTAGGTAGGTAGGTAGGTAGGTAGGTAGGTAGGTAGGTAGGTAGGTAGGTAGGTAGGTAGGTAGGTAGGTAGGTAGGTAGGTAGGTAGGTAGGTAGGTAGGTAGGTAGGTAGGTAGGTAGGTAGGTAGGTAGGTAGGTAGGTAGGTAGGTAGGTAGGTAGGTAGGTAGGTAGGTAGGTAGGTAGGTAGGTAGGTAGGTAGGTAGGTAGGTAGGTAGGTAGGTAGGTAGGTAGGTAGGTAGGTAGGTAGGTAGGTAGGTAGGTAGGTAGGTAGGTAGGTAGGTAGGTAGGTAGGTAGGTAGGTAGGTAGGTAGGTAGGTAGGTAGGTAGGTAGGTAGGTAGGTAGGTAGGTAGGTAGGTAGGTAGGTAGGTAGGTAGGTAGGTAGGTAGGTAGGTAGGTAGGTAGGTAGGTAGGTAGGTAGGTAGGTAGGTAGGTAGGTAGGTAGGTAGGTAGGTAGGTAGGTAGGTAGGTAGGTAGGTAGGTAGGTAGGTAGGTAGGTAGGTAGGTAGGTAGGTAGGTAGGTAGGTAGGTAGGTAGGTAGGTAGGTAGGTAGGTAGGTAGGTAGGTAGGTAGGTAGGTAGGTAGGTAGGTAGGTAGGTAGGTAGGTAGGTAGGTAGGTAGGTAGGTAGGTAGGTAGGTAGGTAGGTAGGTAGGTAGGTAGGTAGGTAGGTAGGTAGGTAGGTAGGTAGGTAGGTAGGTAGGTAGGTAGGTAGGTAGGTAGGTAGGTAGGTAGGTAGGTAGGTAGGTAGGTAGGTAGGTAGGTAGGTAGGTAGGTAGGTAGGTAGGTAGGTAGGTAGGTAGGTAGGTAGGTAGGTAGGTAGGTAGGTAGGTAGGTAGGTAGGTAGGTAGGTAGGTAGGTAGGTAGGTAGGTAGGTAGGTAGGTAGGTAGGTAGGTAGGTAGGTAGGTAGGTAGGTAGGTAGGTAGGTAGGTAGGTAGGTAGGTAGGTAGGTAGGTGAAAGAGACTACTTCCTTTAGGTTTATCCCGTTAATGGTGATTGGTGCTTGTTGTTGATGCTGTTGTTGGTTGGGTATCTTCATCACCTCCGTCTTGGCTGCCTCTTCTGTCAACTTGTTAGTTTTC